ATGATTGTGAATTTGTTGGAGCGGTAGACACTGAAGGACAAGCATATGATGTTTGTGGCTGTGGCAATATTTTTGTGGTCTATAATTAGTTTTTGCTATTAAATGATAAAAAAAGAAAATAAAGGAATGATGAGAAACATGACTCATTTCTTCATAGACAAGAGGGGACATGTTGGCAACACGATTGATCGTCCTCACCTCAACCACTTACTCCTCAATGGTGGAAGATTTCATACGTTTTAGCTGAAATGCAAACACAGTGAGTAAGTGAGGAAGTGGAATTAACTAATCTGATATATGTTCATTTTCTCCAACCTCATTGCCAACATTTGATTCACTTAATATACCATCTTTTGCATCCTCTCTCAACAATGGTAGATCATTAAAACCTTCAAACAATTTATCTAGGTCTTGCTTCGGACATGGCTCAATCTCATAAACTTCATTATCTCCCCCTTCTCCCATATCATAGAAGTCCCTTTGACTCAAAGGCACAACAACACTCCATTCTTTATTCACCTCATCATGTATATAATTTTTGGTCATACATCCCGGTAGGACCTCCAAATTGTGGGATTCAATCAATCAACCTAATCACATGCTTTCTATCCCATATTCAAGATCATGATGAAAACTAAATGCGGAAGCGTATCTGAATTTGCCATTGGGAACAAGACAAGGTGATGAGATTCAAGATTGGTTTGATAATCTTCCAAATGTAGAGAGCCTTAGGTTCCTCTTAAATTTCTCTCCTGATAGGGATGAAGAGAAAAGAGTCGTGTGTATTTTACGTGTGTTACTTGGCTCTGCAAATGGGGACCATAACCCCTGTATTGGTAACTGCCATTAGTTACCCAAAAATTGATAATTATAATTTGACCCCTCATTAAATTATAATATCACTAATGGTATCTACACAATTAACCTTTCATGACATATATGCCCTTAGCCATAAACTTATATTAATTAGACCACTTTAATATTTTGGCTAATAAAATAATGGCCCTAACACATTTAAATTATGTAATATATATGTATGACCACAAATTGCTAACAATCTCCCATTGGTCACACATATATATCCTTACAGTTCTTATAAATGTGTTAGACTTTATGAGCTTAAAAATTGCCATTACGTACCTTGAGCATATTCCAAAAAATCTCGTCCATTGATTACATCAACACATAGAACCAAAACAGTTTCCATTGTATCAATCACAATTTAAACCCATCAATGATCACTAATGCTGACAGAATCAAATGACATAGAGTCATAATGAAATGTGTAGCATGAAAATTATGTGAAGGTGGCCTGTACATGTCTATTTTCAACTGGTCTTACTTTACCTAAATGAGATTATTTAATAACCTTAATTTACAAAGTGTAATAACTGAATAACAAACCATATATATATCTATAACCAAATATATCCAAAAGTCAATGTATGCATACATAAAATCAACCATAGAACATAAAATACATAAATGTGACTAACTCTCACTAAACCAAAGATTCCTCAAACTGTGAAACACCTATATGACTAACTCATGAAATACATAAATGTGACTAACTCATGAAAGACCTTGGGTGGAAGTCCCTTAGTAAGAGGATCTGCTATCATGAAGTTTGTCTTTAAGTGTTTTATGAAAATCTGTCCACTCTGTACCCTTTCCTTAACAACTAGGAACTTGATGTCAATGTGTTTTGACTTGGTCAAGCTCCTATTATTGTTAGAATACAATACAGCTGATTTGTTGTCACAATATAACTTAAGCGGTCTTTCAATTCCTTCCACAATTTGCAGCCCTATGACAAAATTTCTCAGCCATATTCCATGATTTGATGCCTCATAGCATGCTACAAATTCTGCTGCCATAGTGGATGAAGTAGTAAAGGTTTGCTTGGCACTGCGCCAAGAAACCGCACCACTAGCTAACATGAAAATGTAACCTGAAGTGGATCTCAAATTATCTTAGCATCCTGCAAAGTCTGAGTCAGAATACCCAGTGATCTCCAACTAGTCTGACCTTTTGTATGTGAGCATAAAATCTTTTGTTCTCTTCAAATACCTCATAACCCTTTTAGCTGCTTTCCAATGATCTATTCTTGGATTGCTTAAATATCTGCCTAATACCCCAACTATGTATGCTATATCTGGATAAGTACATACTTGGACATACATCAAACTCCCTACAACTGATGCATAGGGAATCTTCTGCATTTCCTGAATTTCCAAATTTCCTTTTGGGCACTGTTTGAGACTGAACTTGTCTCCCTTAGCAACAAGGGTATCCCCTGCTTTACATTCCTGCATGTCAAATCTTTGAAGTAATTTTTCGATATATTTCCTTTATGATAATCCAAGAGTACCCCGAGATCGATCTCGGTGTATCTGAATTCCTAATACAAAGGAAGCATCACCAAGATATTTCATTTCAATGTTTCTGGACAGAAATCTCTTGGTTTCATGCAACATGCCTATATCATTAGTGGCAAGTAGTATGTCATCAACATATAAGACCAAGAAAATATACTTGCTCCCACTGAACTTTTGATACACACAATCATCAACTAGGTTCATCTTGAAACCAAATGAGAGAATAACTTGATGAAATTTGTGGTACCATTGACGAGATGCCTGGTTTAGTCCATAAATGGATTTTGTCAGTTTGCAAACCATATTCTTTGGGTCTCCTGACACAAAGTTTTCTGGTTGCACTATATAAATTGTCTCATCCATGTTGCCATTGAGAAACGTTGTCTTGACATCCATTTGATGGAGCTCCAAATCATAATGTGTGACAAGAGCCATGATTGTCCTAAAAGAGTCTTTCGATAAAACTGGAGAGAAAGTCTCTTTAAAGTCAATCCCTTCCTTTTAGGTATAGCCCTTCGCCACAAGACGAGCCTTATACCTTTCCACATTACCTTTGGAATCCTGTTTGGTCTTAAATATCCATTTGCAACCAATGGGTTTCACACTTTCTAGTAATGGGACAAATTCCCAAACTTTATTATCTTGCATGGACTTATACTCCTCATTCATTGCTTCAATCCACTTTTCTGAATTGGAATCCTGCATGGCTTGACGAAAGTTGACTGGATCATCTTCCATCATACCATTATTTTTCTCATGTTCCTGAAGAAATACTATGTAATCATCCGGAATAGCACTTCTTCTATCTCTAGTGGATCTCCGCAAAGGCATTGGCTCATAATGCACAGGTTCTTAAGGATCTTGAGTTTGTTCTTCATGAACAACCAAATCATTTTGAGTAAGGGGTTCAATAACAATGTCTTGTGGAGGTTCCGAACTTGCTTTATCAAAAGCAACTGTTTGAATCGTTTTTGGATTTGTTATCGATTCTTCCTCTAAGACAAAGTCCCTAACCTTATTCTTCCCTCCAAACTCAATATCCTCAAAGAATGTGGCAGTTCTCGTCTCAAAAATTGTTTTTAGTGTGGGATCATAAAATTTATAACCCTTGGATCTTTCAGAATAACCAATGAAGTAGTTGCTCACTGTTCGGGAGTCCAATTTCTTTTCATTCGGCCTATAAGGCCTTGCCTCAGCTGGACATCCCCACACATGAAAATATTTTACACTAGGCTTTCGCCCAGTCCAAAGCTCATAAGGCATTTTGGCAGCTGCCTTTGTTGGTATCCTATTTGGAATGTAAGCTGCAGTCTTTAGTGCCTCTCCCCAGAGTGACTCTGGCAAGGTAGAATGACAGATCATACTCCTTACCATATCCTTAAGAGTCCTGTTTTGTCTTTCAGCCACACCATTCATGCTAGGTGACCTTGGCATGGTGTACTGTGGGATGATTCCACATTCCTCTAGGTACTTGGCAAAAGGCCCTGGACGTTGTTCACCTGAACTATCATATCTGCCATAGTATTCACCACCACGGTCAGATCTGACACTCTTGATTCTTTTGTTGAGTTGATTCTCAACTTCAGATTTAAATGTTTTGAACACATCCAGAGATTGTGACTTTTCATGTATAAGAAATAGGTATGCATATCTAGAGTAATCATCTATGAATGATATAAAATATTGCTGACCATTCCAAGAAGGTGTAGGAAATGGCCCACAAATGTCTGTATGTATCAACTCTAAGACGTCCGTAGCTCTATAAGCACCTAATTTCTTTGATTTGGTTTGTTTACCTTTAACGCATTCAACACAAACATCAAAGTCTGTGAAGTCAATGGAATCTAAGATCCCATTTGACACAAGTCATTCAACTCTATTTTTAGAGATGTGACCTAGGCGCTTGTGCCATAATGCTCCTGAGTTAATATTGTTAATTTTACGCTTAGTACCGTGTAGTTCCGCATTAAAGGATTCACCATAAGAAGCTACTGTATCGAGTAAATATAGATTATTATAAGCTAAAAGTGAACCAGTTCTAACAATATCTGAATTAAAAAACAACCTAACCATACGATTTCCAAATGAACAAAAATAACCTGATTTGTCTAAATAAGAAACTGAAACCAAATTCTGTCTAAATGAAGGTACAATAAAAATGTCTTTCAAATCCAAATAAAAACCAGTACACAATAATAATCTAAAATGCCCTATAGCTTCCACTTCCGCCGATTTTTCATCTCCAACATATATCCATCTTTCAGAATCAATTGGCTTCCGGTAGCTTAGGCGACCCTGCATTGAAACACTAATGTTAGTAGTGGCACCTAAATCTAACCTCCAAGTGTTTCTAGGTACTAAAGCTAAATTGACCTCATAACAGACCAAAGTAAGAAACATACCTATCCTTGCACGCCAAGCATGATATTTGGTACATTTCTTCTTTACAAGTCCAGACTTACTGCAAAAGAAATAATTGTCACCCTGATTTTGTTTCTTTTGTGCTGGACCTTTAACAGCTTTATTCTTAAAGTCTAAAGTCATCTTTCTTTTGCCCTTGTCTTTAGAGGTACTCACAAAATGGGCACTTTCAGTCCTCTCTTGCTTCATTCTTTCCTCTTCTTACACACAGTATGAAATGAGCTCATTAAGAGACCATTTCTCCTTCTGACAATTATAAGAGATCTTAAACTGACTAAACTGTGAAGGTAGAGAAATCAACACTAAATGAATAAGCAAGTCTTCTGACAGCTCAAGCTTTAGTGCCCTTAATTTTGAAGCAATATTTGACATTCCCATAATGTATTCCCTTATATTTCCTTTGCCTTGATACTTCATGGAAATCAAATTCTGAAGAAGAGTACTTGTTTCCGCCTTATCGCTTTTTGCAAAGCGCTTTTCAATATCAGCAAGGAATTCTTTGGCACTTGTGATATCATCTGAAACAGTACCCCTAAAGACCTCAGGAATGCCGCGCTTAATGATCATAAGACTCATGCGATTTGAGTGATCCCACTTCTCATGAAGTTTCCTCTGTTCAGAGGTGCTAGAATTCGTAAGAGAAGAGGGTTTCTCAATCCTTAATGCAAGGTCTAGATCCATGCAGCCAAGAACAATTTTCATGTTCTCTTTCCAGTCCTTAAAATTTGTACCATTAAGAACCAGAACCGAATTTAGATTAGCAAATATAGAAGCAACAGCTAAAAAGAACAAAGCAAACAATACAATTATGCTCACATAATAATAAAATCTAATCATCAATATATTCAAATTATGGCATAACCCATCTCAAGATACCTAGTGCATCATCAATATCAAGTCTTTGGACAGTAATATTAATTGCTAGTGATACCCTTGTTGTAATGATCAAACATTGATAATAAAATATGTCAAACAATAAACCTCTCTTTGGATTGATTTATCATTCACAAGCAAAACCTCATAATTATCACATGTTTACCATCACAGGTGTGCATGCAATCCGGCCAAATATTAATCTTCCTTTAGGCCAATTAATACTCGCATGGATAAACATACATACTAACATTTAACATTTCTTACGAATAATCTACACAAGATATGTCACTTTGGTGATTTCTTGATTCAATTAGCTCATTTAAAATGTTAAACTTTTGTATAAAACATACAAACAATAACCAAAATTTGAATATTGATATACCAAACTGAATTTGTAATCATGACATAATATCAATAAGTTGAATTCATAACCAAATCCTTAATATACCAAATCCTCAAAAAAAAATATAAAATACAATAACAAAATGACTTAACGTCATGCATCGCAATCAATAGAATCTATGAAAAATTCAATCATAGATAGTTCAATCAATATAAAATACGGCCTAAGTTCGAATTCAATATGCATAGAAAATTCAAGCCCCTGACCCAGCGCGAAGGACGTAGAGGTTTGGCAAAAGTCTAATTTTAATCAACTACTCGAAAATTCAATCATACGTTGTCTTAACAGCGCAACGTTCCCTGGCAAGAAATAAATAAATCATACGTAAATGTTCAATTTCAATTTCTGTACAATTTCAATTTTAATTCCAATTGTCAATTTCAATGTACGATTTCAATGCACAGAGGATTATAATAATGCATCGTATATGTTGAATTTGAAACCATGTTTAATACGCAATTTCAGAACCAATAAATTCCAATTGTTCAATACGTAATCAGCGTATAATTTCAAATTGAAATCAATAAATCCCAATTTGGAACCCTAATGGCATAAATCCCAAAATCATACATGAATTAAGTATAGGAGGCTCTGATACCAATTGTGGGATTCAATCAATCAACCTAATCACATGCTTTCTATCCCATACTCAAGATCATGATGAAAACTAAATGCGGAAGCGTACCTGAATTTGCCATTAGGAACAAGACAAGATGATGAGATTCAAGATTGGTTTGATAATCTTCCAAATGTAGAGGGCCTTAGGTTCCTCTTGAATTTCTCTCCTGATGGGGATGAAGAGAAAAGAGTCGTGTGTATTTTACGTCTGTTACTTGACTCTACAAATGAGGACCATAACCCCTGTATTGGTAACTGCCATCAGTTATCCCAAAATTGATAATTATAATTTGGCCCCTCATCAAATTATAATATCACTAATGGTATCTACACAATTAGCCATAAACTTATATTAATTAGACCACTTTAATATGTTGGCTAATAAAATAATGGCCTTAACACATTTAAATTATGTAATATATATGTATGACCAAAAATTGCTAACACATCATTCGTATAAAATACCATTTGAGCTTGGGAAGCTTCAATGTATGGATCATGGTCTACACGATCACCAGTGTGAATTAATCGTAAAAAATTAACAGAAGTAAAACCCCATACATCCTTTCTATACCCTTTCTCTCTAGTGGTGTCAGCCCATTTACATTTACATAATATAACTCGAAACCAACTATAGTAGTTTAGCTCAATGATGTCTTCTAAATGACTAAAATAGGCTAAATATGCTTGTCTTATATTTTCATCAGCACTACTAGCAATACAGGATGTAGAAGAAGTTACAAAAACTCCATTATTTTAGGTTTTTAACCCATGATCTCGAGTGGTAGTACAAAATTTGAACCCATTACTATTAAATGCAAAAAGCCTTCTAGCAAGTTGTGTCAGACCATTTGCTCAATTCCTCAAATCATCTACCATGATGCTCACAATGTCTGGGTTTATAATCTACAATAATATAAATACTTGTCATAATAAAATATTATGAACATAGCTCAATAAAATATCATCAAATTTCTCACCTACTATCGCAACGGTACGGCGAAAAACGTTTTCATGATAATCAGAGGAGTCGCCACCAAAGTTTATTTCAAGAAAAACCTTGGAATTTTTTTTTAAAATAATATAGTCTTTGAAACCAAAAGCGAATTCGGGAGTCATTTACGTGTAGGGAATGTATTAGCACCCTACAACATCCGTTTAAAAACGATTACCTAAAATTAATTGTGCAAATTTATTCTAATTTAAAAAAATATTTATTAACCCCTAACATTAATTATTTTATTTTAGAAGAAGGAATATTATTTATTGTGATGTTATTTGGGTTATTTTGAAAATTATTTTGACTTGACGGATTCGGTTCCCGCTCCTACGTATCCCCAGGTGCAATGGAGAACTCAAAGTCACGTAGTTGTATCTAAAAAATTATGAAATTAGTTAATTATAATTAAGTTTAGTAAGAGAAAAATTATTTTAAAATTAAAATTATTTTGTAAAATTATAATATTTAGAATACAAGATAACGCGGTTATACATGTACCCTACGAGAAACAATACAGAAAGTGAAGGAAGATCACACAATTATATTGCAAATCGTTAAAATATTTCATTCGTAAATCAAGTATTTGAATTTTAGTTTTGATTATGATCAATATTGAAAGAGAATTTAAGATAGCGTAAACTATACATTAATCTCTTATAATTTTTAGACAATTGAAGGTAATGTAAATCACACAACGGTATTGCAAAAATTTGTATAATAAAATAAAAAATGGAGAAATAATTGATTATTTATCAAAATTAGAAATACAATTCAAGAAATTTTAAAATATGAAATTAATTTCATTTTTAAAAAAAAATTATTTGAATTGATTAAAGAAGATACTCATTTAATAAAAACATTAAAAATTTCATTTGATAGATTTATATTATATAAAACCTAAGGTAACGTTGGTACACATAGATTTTGACAATTTATAACGCATAAAAGTAGAATCGCTACACATTAGTATTATAAATTGTTTTTTAATAAAATAATTTAGATTTAAATTAGTTAATTGATTCGTAAGTTAGTATTTAGAAGAGAAATATATCTTGTATTATTATTAGAGTGGTTAAATAATTAATTAATAACAATATATGATAAATTAATATTGCATAAAGACTTGGTAACGTAGGTACACATAGACTTTATCAATTTATAATACATGACGATAGAGAAACTATACGTTAGTATTATAAATTGATACAATTATATTATTATTTATTAATTAATTATACCAAAAAAATAAGTAATTTAGTATTCACAATATAAGATAAAGTAATCATAAATATAAAAATTAAATCGCATTAATATTCTACAAATATACAATAAATAAAATAAAAGATAACAATCCCAAAAAGTAAAAAAGTAAAAAAAAATGATAATTAAGATATGAACAATAAAACATCATAAAAATAGGAAGGATTTATTATTAATGTTGAATGTGATAAAAGGAAACTCAATAATATAATAAAATAACAAATATTGCATTTGATCAATTTTAATAACTTCTAATTATAATTATTTTAATTATTATTATTATTTTAAAAAAAAGAGAATACAATAAAATAAAGTAAAATGGATTAAAGGACATTACAGCAATAAAATACAGCAAAACACTAAACATGGATAAATTAGAATAAAATTTTAGATAAAAAAAAACATGGTTACGTGAATGATTTGATAGAAATCAACTAGTATGTGGCATTTGTTGGAAATCAACTAGTATATGACATTTGTTTTGCTTCAAGCCTTGCACCCGCTATGTCAAATCAAATACTTTATATAAATAATATAATATTAAATCTCAATCATGAAAAGAAGATAGGAAGAGGATATTTAGTTGTTCAGCATTTTTATTCTTTCAAATACATTTCGATAGCAAGTTTTTGGTTCATTTATATGCATTCTGAGAGTAAGCTTTTTCAGTTCGTTCATATTTGTTCTGGGAGTAAGTTTCAAAAATGTAAAATAAGAACGAAAGGTGACTAACCTTACAAATACAACAACATACGAAAAATAGTTCAAGCTTTGGGTCGAAGGGATGGTATGGTATTCTCTTCTTTTCTCTATCCCTCTTCTCCTCTGTTCAGATTTTTTGTAGAGAAACCCGTTGCCTTTCTAATTTTTGAAAACTTCTTCTCCTCTCAAAAATTTTTTTGCTTTCTTTTTCCAGCCCTCCCCCAAAAGACCCCCCGGGTGGATCCCTTACTTGCGTCTTTATACTGGTTTGTTTAGGGTTTTTTTTACAAAATGCCAAAAGTTCTGATTTTGCCTTTCTCGTGCTTAAGAACAATTTTTGATATGGAGGTATAAGCTTGTATACTGCAAATTTCCGTTTCTGTGAGCCAAACTTGTTTTTTCCAAAAATTTCCATTTTTCTGTAAAACAATTTTATTTTATTTTTTAAATTTTTTGAGGTAATCCTGGGAAATAAAAAAATGGTATTCACAATTGCCCCTCTTTACTCAGTTCATATCAATTAGAGATATTTTCAAGTTAGAGTTGATGAGAACTGAGTAAAGAAGAGAATCAAATTTTTTGTCTAAAATGAACAAAGGGTACAAGGAATACAAAGACAAATTTAATGAACACTCAACTGTTAGGGAAAGTCATAATTTATGACAATTTGTATTAAACAAAATTATGAAACGACATTGACTTTTAACTAAAAACAAAGGTTGCCAGGCAGATACTGGGCTTAAACAACAGGATAAAAGGTGAAAAATGTCAGTCAGGTTCTATGGAAGAGAAGTAAAAAGTGCTAGTCAGGTTCTAGGCTTTGGCAGAGAAGAGAAAGGTGTCAGTCAGGTTCTGGAGTTTGGCAGAGAAATGAAATGTGTCAGGCAGGTACTAGGCTTTGATAGAAAAGTAAAATGTGTCAGTTCGATTCTAAACTTTGACAGAGAAGAGAAAGGTGCCAGTTTGATGCTGGGCGTTGACTAAAAAAATAAAATGTGCCAGTCAGGTTCTGGATTTTGCCATAATAGTAAAAGGGTACCAGTCAGGTTCCAGGCTTTAACAGAGAAGGGAAAAGTGCCAGTCAGATTTTGGGCTTTGACAGAAAATAAAATGTGCCAGTTAGGTGTTGGACTTTGAGAAAATACGAAAGATGTTGTCAAGTTTTAGACTTCGACAAAAACATAAAGGGACTTGGACAAGAAAGGTAAAAAGAAAGACAGAAAAATAAAAGGCCGATCATGTTCTGGATTGCAAAAGAAAATAAAAGGACAAACAGCCTCTGAACTTTAATAGTAAAAATAGGACAGAAAAATAAAGCGATCAGTTAGCTTCCAAATTTTAATAAAAGGTAAAGGGCTCAGTTATATCGTAAACTTAGACTGAACATAAAGGTTGTAAAGCAGATAATGAATTTAAATTAAACTTCAAAAGGTGATAATAGATAAAAACAAATGCATGCTAATGTAATGATGCGATTGTATAAACTGGATGACTGTTATCACTTAGAGTGAAGTTATTGAATGATGAAGTCAATGCTATTATGAGACTTATTAAATCAAAACAAACTCTGTCCCTTTTTTTGGGGGATAGTAATCTTTCAACCTTATTGGAACATACACCTCAAGGTTCATGAATGAGTATGCTCTTCGGTCAGGATCAATTCTTTCATAAGATCTGAACTGGGTGAGACATGAATTGAATTAGATTGCCATTTATTTTTGAATTGTCATAAGGAGACAACTTCTTCTGTCACGCTAAACTTATCAGGAGATTCATCAAGCTTACTGTGTGAATTTTTTAAGCTTCCAATTGTAATCATATTTTCTTATTACCCTTTTAACAATTTTCATGTTTCCTTTTAGTATATAATTATTGAAATGACAATAAAAATGTTAGTTAATGTTGTTGAAGAAGTTGAGTAAACAAAGTGGTGTATATAAGCTGAATGGAAGATGACAAAAGTCAGGGATAAATATTCTGGAAAGTAGGATGACTGTAATAAAGAAATGGTGAATTTACAAAGAGGACTTACAACATAATAGAAAAACAAATACATCAAACAAAGGATCAGAATGACTACAAGAATAACGAAGTATTATGCCGATTAAATGACATCTT